ATCGGATCGGTCACCCTACGGGCCGTTAGATCCTTTTGCACAAAACCGTTAGATTGGCGTCGTCCTCCTCCCCATAGGCGCCCCCGTCTTCTATCATTTTCACGAATACGCAAGACTGCGTGTCATTATCACAAAGAGTGTGAAATGGTTATAAGGTACACAAGCCGGCAATTTTCGGATCCATTCGGACCATCCGAGTATCTCGGTCTCTTCGAGTGACCGTGGCCAACCTTTTGTACTCTTCTGTTTCCATTCGGAATTTCCGAGTGATTTTGTTCGGTCTCACCGAGTGACCGTGTATTCTTCTTGTATTGCACTTGAAATTCTAAAGTGGTTTCGCTCGGTTTCACCGAGTGAATTGGGTGCCTTGTGATAATTTTTCTGACATCCATTCGGTCTTACCGAGTCAAATCCACTCAGTCTGTACGCAATGACTCTACAGTTTCTGCCCCTGGCCTGTTTTGACTCTACAAGTTGCATCTGACCTTGGATTGAGATGATCTAAATATCAAAGTCGGCCACTTCGACAAGATGAAGATTTTTCATGTTGAAACCTTTGTCATTTTAGTCCATCTTAATTGTGTTTTTGGGCATGCTAAAATCTTGTGTCAATAGGTAGTAAGTGCGAGAGCATGTACATGAGCTGGCTTGTTAGTAAGTGCACGAGCTAGCAGAAGAAGGTGTAGGGGTGTTGATCCCAACAGAACTATGATAATAACAATTAGATCTCTCTGGTTCCAGCTCTAGCCCAAAGCATAACCACCGCGAGTCTATCAAAGACGCATCCATTGGTACTTCCGTATCCACCATGCAGTCGTAGTAAGAGAGAGGAAAACCCCTTCCATAGGCATGCGGAGCATGATGACAATGCGACACTAACTAGTCAAGGAAAGGTAACTTCCGGTGAAGAAGATCAATAGTTGTGCGGCACCAAGAGAGGACCTCATGCTATACCTGTCGGCATATGGAGCAACCTGCAAGGATGTGCTGCATATCATCACTCTCGTGGTCATAGAGAACACACTTGTCGGAATGAAGGAGGCCCCTACAGTCGAGGCAATCCACCATACAACATTTGTTTTGGAGGGCATGCCAGATGAAGACCTTGACGCGCAAGGTAGCCAATGTCTTCAAAGTGAGTCTCCAATGGGGGCTTCTATAGCACCAGAAAATAGGGCACCATATCAAGACTTGGCCGAGTAAGCCCGAGACGAGGTGCATTGCCACCGAAGCATGTCCGGATTGGCTGAGAGGGGAGTGTGTTGAAGCCGGAGCAAAAGCTCGATGTACTGGACCATCTCCGCAGGACCAAGCATGCCTTGGATGTCATGTACCCAGGAACTGAGGTGCAAACCCTCCTGAAGAGTGCAAGTCTTTTGTCATCAACACGGGACTTGGGCGAAGACCAAGGGGGGTAACTCCGAGATGGACTTTCCATCAATCTAGTGATCCATCTAGAAAGGCAGGAGGACCCGTCGCCAATAGTCCATACGGTGGATCCCGGAAGATAGCCCTCAGGGTCACATGCAATATGGCGATGCTGGTAGGGGCTAGATGGGTCAATCTTCTGGAATCAAAGCTAGCAAGTTCGCAAAGCAATGCTTGAGCGCCAGAGATTACGAATCCCAAGTATGCCAAGGGAGGTCGAACAACAAACACGATCCCAGTTGACGAGGCATTGACCACCACACGCATCCTTATGAGCAACCCATAGGAAGCCTCAAATGACACAGATCACTTGCATGAGGATCATCTTCTTGAAGGCAATGATGATGAGGTAGTGGACCGGGATGGGACCGTGGACAAGTGCTAACAAGGTCGAGGTGGGTTCTTTCCAATTGGAAAGAGGGAGACCAAGATACTGCACCGGGAAGGTGGCAACGGGACACATCATTTCTGAGGCAACATTGGTGAGGTATTCATTAGAACATTGGATTGGCATGACAAAACATTTGGAGAAGTTCATATGGAGTCCCGAGGCGGTGCAGGATACATGCATAAGCACTCGGACATCCGAGATGTCATGACTATTTGGATCTAGGGGTGCCTCTAAAAATGCAAAAATGTTCTATAGATGTACTTAATACTAATTCTCCAACAAAATAATTTTATTTAGAACTATTAGTTAAGATTATAATGATGTTTAGTTGAAATTATGTTATGTATAATGTACAATTTTTACAAATTTGAAAGTGACACCTTGGTGCTTAG